TTGTCCTCTGAAAATCAATTTGCTGCCTAAGAATAGCTTCAATGTAAAAGAAAATTCTAAGACAATAACTATGACTCAAGTGATGACATATTAAGATACCCAAATATGTATAAAATTGCCACCCGAGAAAAAACTGTGAATAAAATTTTAATATCTTGATAAAAGAGCAATGCTCCAACTAAGAACCACCCAATTCACTGATTGCAAAATTAATAATTCAATTCTAATGAGAATGAGAATGATGCTGAAACGAAATATTATTCATATAAGGAATTACCACAGTCTTGAGCTGCTGACTAAAATTATCAAAATTGATCAATGTTACATAAATATTTAAAAAGGAAAACTTTTCTTTATAACAGTTATATAGTTTATGTCTACTGTAGGTGAACTGTACTCTCATTATGAGTATCAAATGCACTAAGTTGATAGAATTATATATTGTACATTCATGGACCTGCTTCACATGGGTCAGTAGGCCTGCTGCAGTGTTCCTTCTTTCTTATGTTCTTAAATATTTTCTAAGCTATATCTGGGAGTAAAATGCCTGCACTTTAAAGGAGGGGTTTAGGATACTGGCAGTTTGGAGGGCTGTTTAAACTGCAGTATCCACATGCCTCTGCAACTGCCATGCAAAGACAATGATTATGTATGAGTGAGGGTGATAGTGTTGAATGATGATGAAAGTTTTTTCTTTCTTTTTGGGTCACCCTGCCTTGGTAGGAGACGGCCGATGTGTTAAAAAAAAAATAAACTTACCTTTGATACACCTTTGAAGAATTTCGAGAGTATATCTACTCTCTGAGCCCTTGGGAGGCAAAATTAGGGAATGTACCACAGTGTTGTGATACCAACACTTAAACGAGTGTGTGAGGTATGGGTTGCGAACACTGATGCAAGGAGGAGGCTACAAGCTGTGGAGGTATGTTTGAAAGCAATGTGTGGCCTGAACACTATGCAGTAGATTCAGAAGGCAGAAATTAAAAGACAGATTACAGGTTATTAAGGGTATAATTTAGAGTTCTGAAAAAAAGTTCTTGATGTCGTTTGAGCATTTAGAGAAGACTGAGAGGGATAAAATGATGACAAGAATGTATAAATCTGAGATGTAATGCAGAAGGGGGAAAGGGTCATCCCAGGAATGATTGAAGGAAAAGGGTAAAGGAAACAAGACCCTGGTTTTAGGGCCTTGAGCATCAAACAGGCTCATGTGAATGTGTTAGACAGGGATGAATGGAGACAGGTGGATTTTAATGGATATACTGTTGGAGAGCAAGCAGGGTCACATTTATGAAAGGATTTAGGGAAACCAATTAACCAGGTTTGAGTTCTCGAGTTTCCTGCATTCTGAAGAAGAGGTGAGGATGATACTGTCAAAGAGGAATCAGAATTGTGATGTCAGTACACTTCTTCCAAAACAGGGATTGAATGAAAGATGATTAATATATTTTATTGGTTGCCCTGCCTTGGTGAGAAATGGTTGATGAAGTAAAAAAAAAAGTTGGAAAAGTAGCAGGGAAGATAGAATTAAACTAAGAAAGAGAAAGTACAGTGGACCCCCGACATTTGATGGCATCGACATTCGATAAATCCGACATTCGATGCATTTTAACGCAAAAGTTTCACCTCGACATTCGATGGAACACCCGACATTCGATACGATTCGTACGAGATGTGTCCATGTGTGGCCTGAACTGCCCCGTGTGTGCCAGTGTTTACAAGCCAGCCAGTGTGCGCGCATCTAAGGATACATTCGGTACATTCCATAATATCACTGTTTTTGGTGCTTGTTTCTGCAAAATAAGTAACCATGGGCCCCAAGAAAGCTTCTAGTGGCAACCCTTCGAGAAAAAAGGTGCTAATGACTATTGAAATGAAGAAAGAGATAGTTGCAAAGTGCGAAAGTGGAGTGCGTATGTCGGAGCTGGCCAGGTTGTATAGTAAACCCCAATCAAGCATCTCTACTATAGTGAGCAGGAAAACGGCAATCAAGGAAGCTGTTGTTGCAAAAGGTGCAACTTTGTTTTTGAAACAGAGATCGCTAGTGTTAGAAGATGTTGAGAGACTGTTATTGGTGTGGATAAATGAAAAACAGATAGCAGGAGATAGCGTCTCTCAAACGTAAAGTAAAAGGACACAAGTGCAACTAATGTGACATTTTATTGTGGCAACGTTTCACTCTCCAGGAGCTTTGTTAAGCCGATACAAACAGTATATGGATGCAGAGGGTATATAAAGGCTCAGAGTGAGGTGCAATACTAGTGAGGTACCATTTCGATGTTCACTAGTGGTAGTAGTAGTAGTGACAAAAGTTGTAGTAGTAGTAGTAATACAGTATGGTAGAGCAATTAATTCGTACATGAGTGAAAGGATATAAAAGCTATTACTTGGGTAACATAAAAATAGGTTGGACAAATATAGACTGGAAAGAGAAGGCCTGTTTCAGTGTTCACTCTCTGTAATGTGCTTTGTGTAGTATAGCAGGAGAGACTATGTGATGGCAGGGTTTACTGTTTTCAGGAGGATTCTTGCTAAGACTTCAGAGATGGTGAAGCTGCCGTTGTTTTGTTTAATTGTATTCGAAACAGCGATCAGTGCTGATTCGAGGCACTTGCGTCTGCGGAAATTAGTTTCTTTGATCACTAATTGGGCGTCCCTGAATTTCATGAGATGATTGGTGGAATTTCGGTGTTGTACACAGGCGTTGTTCAAGTTATCGTTCCTACATGCGTAAATGTGTTCATTGAGGCGGGTGTCGAGGTTTCTTGCTGTTTCACCTACATAAATCTTGTCACAGCCTCCACAGGGTATAGTGTAAATCCCTGCATTGACTGGTTCATGGTGCTTTGATTTTGTCCTGGTTAGATCCTTTATTAAAGTGCTAGAAGCGTTGGCGACTCTGGTGTTAGCTTGTGAAAGTACTTTGGAAACGTTCAGTGCAACCTGGTTGTTGGGAAGAATTATAACTTTGCTGGGAGTGGTGTTGGTGCGTGGAGAATTAATGATCTGAAGAGCTCTTTTCTTGCAGTCTTTGATGAAAAAGGAAGGAAAATGTAACTCAGTGAAGGTCTGGTGAATGTATGTACATTCCTCGTCAAGAAACTCAGGACTACAAATTCGGTATGCTCTTAGAAAAAACCCGATGATGATGCCTCTTTTGGTCTTGGTATCTTGACTGGAATAGAAGTGTGTGAGATCATTTTTATTGGTAGGTTTCCGATAAACTTGAAATCTTAGGTTGTTGTCTGCTTTGTGAATGAGGACGTCGAGGAGAGGTAGCTTGTCATTGGACTCTTCTTCTAGTGTAAACTGGATCGCCGGTTCAACTGCGTTGAGCCTTGCCTGAAGATTCCGTACATCAAAACGTTTGGGAGTTATTACGAGGACGTCGTCCACGTAACGTAACCAAGTGACGCTTGAAGGGATGATGTTTGCGAAGTGTTCGGACTCTAGGTGTTCCATGTATAAGTTGGCTAGGACGGCACTGATGGGGGACCCCATTCCCATGCCCATGCCAACTTATACATGGAAGGGGATTCCCTTTCTAAACACTAACACCATCCACACTCTCCCCTCCTCCCATCCCATCAATCATCACCAAATCTTCATTAAAGGTAAGTGTCAATTATTCTATTGTTATTAATCTATCGTTATTGTTGTTACTGTAATTATTCTACTGCATTAAACTTAATATTTCATGTGGTAAAAATTTTTTTCATAGTTTTGGGTGTCTTGCACGGATTAATTTGATTTCCATTATTTCTTATGGGGAAAATTAATTCAACTTTCGATATTTTCGACATTCGATGAACTCTCAGGAACGGATTAATATCGAATGTCGAGGGTCCACTGTATATAGAAATGAAGTGTTGGAATGCTGAAGGTATTTCATTAATGCCTGTATGTAAAGAGGATGGGTGCCAAAGGAGAGGCAAGAGAATACATGTGGTTCCTTTATATAAAACTAAGGGAGGATAAGATAGTAAAACCCAGAGGATTTTCTTTCTTTAAACACTCCAACCCACTCCCACTGAGGTGAAGTGATCCAACAATGAAGAAAACACTTTCGCTGTCACTCAATCAATCAATGTCTTGCTAGAAGGGAGCTGACATCACAGTACAGATGACCCTCCAAACTGCAACATCCCTGCCCCTCTAGTGTAGGCACTGTCCAGGACTCAAATCTAGCTAACCGTTTCCGAGTGTTATCTTGCTCACATCCCAACAGCACGTCAAATCATGAAAACTGCTTACCCCCACTCACTTCTATCTAACATACTCACACAAACCTGTTTGATGTCTAAACCTCTAGCACTCAAAACCTACTGACCCCCCTTTTTCTACAACCTTTCCTAGGACAACCTCTACCCCTCCTTCCCTCCTACCCAGATTTATACACCCTTCTAGTCATCCTATTTTTTCTTCAAAAGATTAAGTCAGTTAAATATACTAAATAAAAGTATGGCAGCATTGTGACTGATGAACAATTATCAGAAAATAAAATATGATTGCAACGTTAATTAATAAAATGAAAGAAATGTATAAATTATGAAGTTGCACTGAAGCATCTAACTGAGCAATACTTAGTTAAGGGAAAAGAAAAGTTTGTTGTACTCAAGGCTTTGAAAAAGGTGCATAACAGTGTGAATCACTGAACAATGTGACGTATTTTGCAAAGAAAAATATAAAATGCCAACCCCAAAGTAAATGATGCCAGCAAAACAAATTTGGCTAATGTTGCAATGTTTGCTTCAAGGCGTTATTAAACCTATACTGCTTTAGATCAAGCACCTCAACTTACATGGATTTAAACTGACTAAACAACACAAGCTTTCCGAGTCTTTAGTCATAAAATCATGACATCTTCCAATGTTCTTTTAATTCAATTCTTTCACAGCAGAAATTCCTTTTATTTGCAGCATGCAATTTAAAATTTAATACTCCAACAAAATTTGGAAGAAAAAACAAAAGCATTTGAGCAACATAAGATATCAACTAACCTGTAGCCTGGTTGTGGCTTTTACGATGTCTAGCAGACACTTGCAAGCGAGTCTTTCCATAGTAGTGAGTCTCTTTTAAAGCTTTCTTGACCATATCCCTGTATCAGAGTTCATTACATAATTAACAAATGTATACATACAATGTGGCAGATGTTGCAGGTGTATGGTATAGGAGGTAGGTTACTGAAAGCAGCGAAGAGTTTTTACAAGGATAGTGAGGCTCAGGTTAGAGTATGTAGGAGAGAGGGAGATTATTTCCCAGTAAAAGTAGGCCTTAGACAAGGATGAGTGATGTCACCGTGGTTGTTCAATATATTTATAGATGGGGTTGTAAGAGAAGTGAATGCTAGGGTCTTGGCAAGAGGTGTGGAGTTAAAAGATAAAGAATCAAACACGAAGTGGGAGTTGTCACAGTTGCTCTTTGCTGATGACATGGTTCTTTTGGGAGATTCTGAAGAGAAGTTGCAGAGGCTGGTGGATGAATTTGGTAAGGTATGTAAAAGAAAATTAAAAATGAATATAGGAAAGAGTAAGGTTATGAGAAAAGCAAAAAGATTAGGTGACGAAAGACTGGATATCTGATTGGAGGGAGAGAGTGGTGCACTTAGGAGTCTGTGGAGACAAACAACTTTGTCCGTGGAAGTAAAAAGGGGAATATATGAGAGTATAGTTATACCAATGCTCTTGTATGGGTGTTGGGCATTGGTTGTGAATGTTGCAACAAGGAGAAGGCTGGAGGTAGTGGAGACGTAATGTCTGGGGGCAATGTGTGATGTGAATATAATGCAGAGAATTTGTAGTTTAGAAATTAGAAGGTGTGGGATTACCAAAACTACAACCCAGAGGGCTGAGGAGGGGTTGCTGAGGTGGTTCGGACATGTAGAGAGAATGGAACAAAACAGAATGACTTCGAGAGTGTATAAATCTGTAGTGGAGAGAAGGCGGGGTAGGGGTTGGCTAGGAAGGGTTGGAGGGAGGGGGTAAAGGAGGTTTTGTGTGCGAGGGGCTTGGACTTCCAGCAAGCGTGTATGAGCGTATTTGATAGGAGTGAATGGAGACAAATGGTTTTTAATATTTGACGTGCTGCTGGAGTGTGAGCAAAGTAACATTTATGAAGAGATTCAGGGAAACCGGCAGGCCGGACTTGAGTCCTGGAGATGGGTAGTACAGTGTTTACACTCTGAAGGAGGGGTGTTAATATTGCAGTTTTATAACTGTAGTGTAAAGCACCCCTTTGGCAAGACAGTGATGGAGTAAATGATGATGAAAGTTTTTCTTTTTCAGGCCACCCTGCCTTGGTGGGAATCGGCCATGTGTTAATAAAAAAAATATATATAAGAATACGTTCAATGCAGATGTACAAGGAATGGAATGAGGAGTTACAATTTAGCTAAAATGACACTTGATGCTAGCAATAGCAAAACCTATGAACACAAACTGCATCTAAAGTGACTAAGAAACAGGTAAAGCATTAACTGCAACCAAAACTAAGAAGCAGTCACAGGAAGATGAAAATTACAGATTAACCAGATAGAATTAATGTTTTTATCTATGTCTGTGAATGTGTTCAGATATTTAGGAGTGGACGTGTCAGCAGATGGGTCTATGAAGGATGAGGTGAATCAAAGAATTGACGAGGGGGAAAAGGTGAGTGGTGCATTGAGGAGCCTGTGGAAACGAAGAACTTTATCTATGAAAGCAAAGAGGTGAATGTATGAGAGTATAGTTATACCAATGCTCTTGTATGGGTGTGAGGCATGGGTTGTGAATGTTGCAACAAGGAGAAGGCTGGAGGCAGTGGAGATGTCATGTCTGAGGGCAATGTGTGATGTGAATATAATGCAGAGAATCTGTAGTTTGGAGATTAGGAGGAGGTGCAGGATTATCAAGACAATTATCCAGAGGGCTGAGGAAGGGTTATTGAGATGGTTTGGACATGTAGAGAGGATGGAATGAAATAGAATGACTTCGAGAGTGTATAAATCTGTAGTGGAGGGAAGGCGGGGTAGGGGTCGGCCTAGGAAAGGTTGGAGGGAGGGAGTAAAGGAGGTTTTGTGTGTGAGGGGCTTGGACTTCCAGCAAGCGTGTGTGAGCGTGTTAAACAGGAGCGAATGGAGACAAATGGTTTTTAGGACTTGACGTGTTGTTGGAGTGTAAGCAAGGTAACATTTATGAAGGGATTCAGGGAAACCGGCAGGCCAGACTTGATTTCTGGAGATGGGAAATACAGTCCCGGCACTCTGAAGGAGGGGTGTCAATGTTGCAATTTTATAACTGTAGTGATGGAGTGAATGATGATGAAAGTTTCTCTTTTCGGGCCACCCTGCCTTTGTGGGAAACAGCCGATGTGTTAATAAAAAAAATTTATGTCTGTGATGCTATTAGTATGAAAACTAAATAACTCATGATGCCTAACTTTGCAAGGTTAGAGTAACAGCATACTGAAACTAAATACTGGCATCCTCCATGGTTAAGTGGCAGCCACAGTATAATACACCTTCACAAATGACATTACCAATCACTACCACAACTCAATCACCATATGAAGTCATGACATTCCACATGTAATAGCTGTAAGATATACATATGTACAAATGAACCCACCCACACAAAAGAAATTTATTAAATCTCACACTGGAATAAGGAATGGTTCATCAAAACCAATGCAGGAAAACTGATTACGGGTACAAGATGATCCACTACCTCCCATACTTTGCTCATATGTTCTCATACACACACATTTCTGTACATACCTGTCTGAAATAAAACCAAAGGATGAGATTTCACCATAGTTAATAATCTGTGCACTAACACACACAAACACTAAATAAGCAACAATAAAAAAAAGGGGGGGAGGGGATAAGCTGTCTATATAAACAAAGAAAAGAACCAATGAAGACCAAAATACACATTTACAAAGATTTCACCTATGGAATCATAACATTTACATTCCTCATACTTTTCCTTGCAACAAAAAACAATAAACTGAAGCTTTAGAATATTCAGAATAAGTGTGCTACGAGTATTCAACCTGGCCTGGCAAGACTTGAAAAAGCAATTCCCTTAACATTAAATCCTTTATTCCCACCATAACTATGTTGGAAGATACAGGGAGATCAGCAAATCAAGAGACCTGAACACTAACATCAGTTGTGTTCAGTATCTTCAAAGATCACCTAATGCTTGTAAGGAAGGCCCATACTGAGCAGCAAAAATGGGAAATAGCCTGCAGTGTCTAAGGCTGAGTGATATGTATGGCTACCATATATATTGTACAGTGGAACCTCTGCTTGCGAGTTTAATCTGTTCCGTTACCTAGCTCATAACCCGACATGCTAGTATGCCGAGTCAATTTTCCTCATTTAAGTTTAATGAAATGCCATTAATCCGTTCCAGCGGAATTTCTGCTGTCGGGAGGCAGGACAAAAATACGCTAATATCAATTCTACAGCTTATTTACCTATCACAGTTCATCTAATATGACATAATAACCAATACAATTAACCTAGAAACATAATACATGTATATCCTCTAGAATAAATAAAATAGGCCATAATATGATTAGTGATGGCAGTGGCATCCATTCCCTCACCTGCTCACTATATCTTCCCATGCTTTTATTATAAGAGAAAACAGAGTGTTTGCAAGGCTAACTGCACTTGTTTCGTAAATAAGTTTCATAAATAAGAAATACTGTATAAAAACATAAGAGAGAATGTAAAGAAATAAAGTGGTTTTATAAAGTGTACGTATGCTGGCGGAGGTGAAGGAAGACAGAGGGTGGAGGTGGAGGGTGGAAGTGGAGGTGGAGAGTGGAAGATAGGGTACTTGCTACTAGCTCCTACTGCCACCGCACACCTTGCTTGTTTATCAAAGATTTCATGCTGTACATGATTCCATGGACATCATCCTCTTTTTGTTTTCAGCACTATCCTCTACACTTACTTTCTTAGGACCCATGGTTAGAAACAAGAAATTTGGCAATACTAACATGAGAAATGCTTCCACAGTGACAAACACATTGGCGTTGGCTGTGCCACTTAGTGGCGATGTTCCGAACCTCGCTTTTTTTTTTTTTTAACACATCAGTCATCTCTCACCAAGGCAGGGTGACCCAAAAAGAAAGAAAATCCCCAAAAAGAAAATACTTCATCATCATTCAACACTTTCACCTCACTCATACATAATCAGTCTTTGCAGAGGCACTCAAATACGACAGTTCAGAAGTCCCTCCAAACTGCCCATTTCCAGCACTCAAGTCTGGCTAGCCAGTTTCCCTGAATCCCTTCACAAAATATTACCAATTCCAATTCCCTAGATCTAGAGCCCCTCACCAGCATCAAGGAACCTCCCTTGAGGGGGAAGCTCGCAACCTGAATTTTGGCTCATATCCAGGAGCAAAAAATCGACCGAGCAATGGCTTGTATCCTGAAAAACTCACATAGTGGGGCACTCATAAGCAGAGGTTCCATTGTATTGAAAACTGGTGAAGCCAAACCAATGAGACAATAATCCCCAAAACTATTAGCAGATATATATGTCCAATGACCTCTGCAGCCAGAAGCAGGCCACTTTGAAAAGAAACCAAAAAATACACCACCAGGTCCTCCATATACAATGAGGACTTGATGCTGTCAAGGACAACACGAACACCATTACCTAAGATACAGTACTGTGAAACCCAGAAAAATGCCTTGCGAGACCTCTTCCTCCCAGGAAAATGACTATGAAAAGCTCGAGTACAACACTCCCCCTGAACACAGGCCTCACAGTACCAGGTGATGGAAATATTGTAATGTAGGATGCTCAACCTCTATGTAGTGTCACAGGATTTTCCCATATTGATGAAAACTGCTAAGGTACTGAGTCAATTGGTAAAGCCCATCTGAAAATTGCTAGTCAGTCACACCAAAAAGAGTCTACCATGAATTTGAACTTAGAAAAGTCAAATTGTGCCAAGATGTAACAGATAAACCTCAGGTACAAGCTTTTATCATCCACAGGCAATCTTCGGTAATACAAGTACAGTGGACCCCGGTTATCGGCTGCTTCTGTTATCGGCCAACTCGGTGATCAGCCAGTTTTTCGGAGCCCGGTT